CGCGCCGACAAACCGTAGCACTGATTCTGTGAAAGACGAATACTATTATCAACTACTTCCATCTCCTTCTTTAGCGAAAAACCACCGACAATGTGGTGCTTGCTGTCGATCTGAACGCCTAAATCAGAAAAGTGTCCTCTGATGAGTTTCATATGGGCGGCAAACACGGTGTAGGATCCCGTAATGATAACGAGGAACGGTTGTTACACATGTGTGAAGATGTTCGTCTCTTTCACACTAAGCACTAATTTTCGACACTGTATTCGCATTAGAGTGAGTTAGCGCCCACTAGCCTCGGACTAGTCATGGACGCAAATCGATCACAGCGCGATTAGTTACCGCTGGAGAGGCTGTGTCCAAAGCTGTCGCTCGATTTGGAGCACCAGCGTGGATTCCGATTACGCTCTTGTGTGTGCCGACCTTCGGGTGCGGTTCGGTGGACGTCCGCAACGTCGATGTGAACGTATTGATACCAGCCAGCTAGCGAAGCCAGGTGTTCTGAATGTATTTCAAAGTACGCTGGCATCCGAGCTGAATAAGCGTCTACTGAACACTGTTAAAGATCACTGGTCGCAAGTTCGCCAGACGTTACCTTCAGCAGGCATGTCATGTAGCAAATCAAGTTGCCAACCTGGACATTGTGTGTCTACACAGCCGACGTACTCCGGCTGGAAGCGAATACAATGAGACTAGCAAAAATCTCAGAGAAAAACTGCGTGCTAGCTTAAAGAGAGACGGCGGAGCCTGGTGGTCTCATAATGCATCGGAAATAGAAGCAGCCGCTGACGCTGGTAGCCATCTAAAGTTATTCCGTCTGATAAGAGAAGCGGACAGTAGGAGACCTGGTGTTAATGAGACCGTACGCGACGAGAGTGGGTAGTTGATCCACAGCTTGTCAAGACGCTGGAGAAGCAGTTCAATCAGTGAGATTTGTCGGCTTCTCCACCGACCACTGAACCCCGTACTCCCTGCGCCGCCCCTTTGGATCCGTCCTCACGAGTATAAATCAAAGGAGCGAGCACACTGCGGAAATTGAATAAGACCACAGCCGCAGAGAGAATTCCTCCGGCCCTCTTCAAATTCGGCGGACCTGCCGTTGTAGATGATTTGCACGAGTTACTAGTGAAACTGCGGGAGCAGGAAACAGTCTCAACAGACTGCAGTCGCTCCGTCAGTCCCAGTTTTCAAGGGAGGCCCCGTTCGAATCAGTTTGATCTCAAGTGTCTGTGAGTTACTTGTGTCTGTCGTCCTCCTCAGACCGACTGGAACTCGTGAATGTCAGATTCGCGAGGCGAAAGCCGGATTGCATCGAAATCAAGGTTAATTTGACCAGATCTTTACTTTGCGTCAATTAATTTATTTATTGATGCAGTTATTGTTGATCCATCGTAGTCGTGTTTTTCGACATTAAAGGCATGTTCGATTCGATGGATTGACGTGCTCTTGGGGACTGTCTGCTCAGGAAAAGTATGCGCGAAAAATATGTAACGATTATCAGAGCGTTGCACGCGCATAGTTCGGCAGAGTGAGGGTTTATGGCAAACTCTCGACACCCTTCAGTATCACCAGCGGTGTGAGACAAGGATGCCCCCTGTCACCTTTCCTCTTCAACTTCGCTATTGATGAAGTCATGGAAACAGCGTTCGCTGGACATGACTTACAAAGTGTGGAGCTACTTCCTGGTGAGCGACCACTTGAGTTGGAGTATGTGATAGCGCCCGAACGAGCTAAGCAGCACTGAACAGATTAGCAGTGACTGTCAATTGTTATAGGCTATGCATTGCTCCATCTAAATACAAAGTCCTTCTCCAAGATGGGCAATGACCTACCCATGTGCTAACCCTCGGTGGTGATCAGCTAGAAGTCGTTTAGGAGTTCAAATAGTTGGGCAACTATATTAGCGCCCAGGGGATTGGAGATGAGGCCACGAACCGTATAACAAAAGCTCGATGTGTTTTTGCTAATCTCCACCACCTGTGGCGCCGACGTGACAACACTCTCATTTTGGAGGGTAAAGTTTATAATGCAGCCGACCGTTCAACTCTCCTGTATGGTTTCGCAACTTGGCCCATTAGGTCGACAGGCGAGGAGGCTAGCTACGTTCGGCCACCGCTGCCTTCGCAGCTCACCTCATGTCTGGTGGGAGCACTGCGTGAGCAATGAATATGTTCGGTGCCGATTATTTGGTGCAAGAAAAGCGAGAGAACCGCTCAGCACCGTTACATCATGCACCAGGCTCCGATGGCTGGGTCGACTGTTGTGTATGCCAGCACACCGACTCCCGTGACGTGGGTTGTTTGCGCGCCCGGAATCTTGATGTAAGTGAAGGAGGGGAGGCTAAGCGAGGACTGTGTCAAGAAAAATGAAAACCCTACTTCGAAATTGGCGTCGGTTGGTGTTTCCGGAATGCCGCGTTGTGGACCGAAGGACGATGAACACGTCTGGTTGCAGACACTTGCTGATATGGTGAAGAGCCAGCCCAATGGTGTTTGTGTTGTTTTTTGTTCATTCAACTCTCTCCTTCACATTCCCATCCAATTACGATCCCATAGTAAATGAATGATATCATATTTAACAGTATATTACTTGCTTATTGAATTTTTTGTAGTGTAATTTTAAAATCTTATCTTTTCTGCCTCAATCCTGGCCACCGTGAATCTTGAAAAGTGCCAGTCAGCGGATTTCAATGGCTCATGGAGACACGGAAATAAGAGAACTGCGATGTGCTGAATTAGCAAAAGCTGTAGGCTTAGAAATGTTAGCAGCGAGTTTTGAGTTGTGATAAGTTCTACATCCAGTAAACTATATTAGCGGGTTTATACCAATACGGACATGTAAAGCATTGACTCCACTGTATCAGTTTGAACAAAACAATAAGAGGAGAAATGCAAGATGGCGCCATTTCGTATCAGATCACTTGTAAAGCAACGACATATAAAGATCACGTGAGGGGAAAAACAACCGTTTTGAATCGATCAGATAAAAAGTCACGCAGAAACAAAACAACAGATGGTTGAGCTGAGGCAAATGCCACGGACCCTAAGAAAGCTTAAGGGTTACTGTCAGTTGCTTTTGTACACAAAGAGTAGGACGGCAATGATTAAGGGTCACGGCCTCGCGTTTTCGTTTTGGTAGACGACTAACAGCTGAGTCAGGGCCAACTTGATGACCTGTACTGATTGGGTGTCTAGCGATGGATGACGTTGGCAGTTTGCCTGCTGCTCATTGTTCGGTTGTTTGTTGTGCTATCAGCCCAGGAATTCACTTCGGAACATGCTCTCCAATCCGCATACTCACATAACGAGCTGTTCTGCCAAGGTAACTGATTCAACAGCAACAGAAGAATTGATAACTGCAATGTGTTGTGGCGGAGACTGGTTGAGTAGGTTTGATTGGGGCAGCTTTTTGGTTATCCAGATAGGACTGAGTTTGGCAGCGCTGAATGTACGGCGAATAGCTGTGTTCACCCGTCGTTCAATTTGCGCCGTCACCCCATTACATTTGAAGGCTAGCTGTAAATAGACGGGCACTTTGGGCACAGTAAGTACTCTTGGTTTGTTTTCCTTCGGGTGGCTGTGAAATCTGATGAATGCCTCTGGATATCCATTGTCCCGTAATGTCTGTGTGATGAACGACAATTCCGACTCCACGCAGTCGGCAATGCATAGTCTAAAAGCTCGATCAAACGTCTTGACAAGGCAACACTTGTATTGGACCGGTGCGAAGCGGCTGAAGTTCTTAGACGGGTTATTGCATGTGGTTTTTCTGTAAACAGGGCGTTTTATCGAGTCATCGTCTCACCCTGTCAACAATACATTCAGTAAATTAAGATAACTGTTGACTGCTAGTTCCAAAATGGAACAGGCGTTGGGATGTGCATTGTTAAGCACACTGAGAAGAGACGGAGTAATCTTTACACTTGTAGCAATCATTAAGGTGTCATCCACATACCACCTGTATAAGCACATCTGGTTTAGGGAGGGTTCACACCTCGAGGTCAGCTAGTACCTGGCGAAGCGGACTTCCCGTAGCCACATAATCTACCAGTTGATATGCGTGCTCCTCAAATAAGTAATGCACATTTTCTGTGCATAATGGCAGTAAATCCCTGAAATATTCCACTGGAATTGACAAGGATATTTTTCTGTTCGTGATAAATTCGCACAAGGAATCGATTGTTTCGTGTAATGGGATGTTGGTGAGCAAAGATCCGACATCCATAGAACACATGACCTTCTAGGTAATATTCATATCCTGCACACAATCAATCAGATGAAAAGTGTCTTTCACGGTGTAGGCCGCTATGGAAATCGTTGTGCAATGGAGTGTTAGAGACAAGCAACGAGGAAAATGATGACCCTTCTGATGCGGACACAGTGATTGGAAGGACGAAAGTGCACTCAAAGGCAAATCGGGATTCGCCCCATTGAGATTGTGTGTCACAATCTAAACATCTAAGGAGTGATGTAAAATACTAATCGAATTTCCAAGCGACATGACAAGCACCGTCCACGTAGCTCGGTCATCGTACATGCCTGATTCGAATCTCAGTTCTAGTTGGCTTCAATTGAACAGTTCAAATAAAGGAAACAATGGTTACGGAGCACAGTGTTGGAAACGAGTAACGCCTAGAATTCCCCCATTCCAGATGCAATTCCGATAATCAAAAAGACAAAGCTGACAGCGTGTGTCACAACCATAAGATGCAACGAGGAAGTTTGACTATTGTTCGACAACACCCAAGCGTGAAAGTGACCAGGTTCATTGAGGAAGCCATCGGGATAGAAAGACAAGACATAAAACAGTTTTTCAGAAATCCTGTCGTATAAACATGTATTCGGCTTCTGGTCACCCGTTGAATGAAGAGAGAATGCGCAGTGATAATCGAACGGGAACTAATCCATCGCTGGCAATAAAAGAAGGAAATTAGATACATGGACCATTGGCAGTGGAAAGCAGCTGTTAGCCGGAATACTGATGTAAATTGACAAAACGCTTACCTCCCGTAGCTGTGACTCCTTTGTGCGCCATTTTTCAAGTAGCTCATGACTGACACTCAAACGTTCGGCAACCACTGCTGGGTTAACCCCGCTAGCAAGCAGATCTAAGGCGGCAATCATTTTGCTCAAAGAATGGGGTGCGACTGGTGCGCTGGCCCTTGTTGGACGCCGAACAAACACATCCTCAGCAGAGTGGACAGCTTGACATGTGAATGACTGAGCTGGGGAGGAGGAATTGCAAGGCGGATTCGCAAGGGGCCGTAAAGATGATGGTGAGTTTTCGGAAAGGGGACAGCGCACATGCTTTGACTCCTGAAAAGATAAGGAGTAAGTAAGTGGCTATATGAGTGTGTAAAAAAGAGCCAAAACAAATTCGAAAGTGATGCGCACGAACGCGCTGGGTGTCGAAGTGTTGGAGGAAAGGCTGATGAAACTATGGAAAAGGATGAAAGCAGAGATTGGGACAAAGTGACTGAAGTGAGTTGGTTCAATTAAGCAAATAGTCGATTAGCGCTAACCAGCTGTCACCAAACATTGATTGGTGTACGAATGGTGCGGAAGGAGAACCACTCAGAATGGGGCAATCAGTGTGGCATGAAAACCTTATAGTGTGACTGAGATAAACGATTCCTGAATGCCAGAGAAGTGGGGAAGGCGATGTGCAACAAACAGTACTTGAAGCCGTATCCTAGACTATAGCCAAAGTCTGCTTTCTCCTGATTAGATTTGAGAGCTGGGGCTAACTTCTGCAATGATCAGCCAATAAAGACAGTCTCCTGGTAATTAACAACTCACCTACATTGAATTACAGCCTTCGTTAGTGAACCACGGGTTTAAAAAGGTGCCATATGGATTAGTCCCCGGGTTTACAAAAGTGATATCACGGTATTGGTGATTAGTCGTTGCTCCTCCCAACCCTGACATCCCACAACCGGTTTCGTCCTCCTTTGGACTCATCAGATGGAGATAGCCAGAGTTGGGTTGGATCTCGAGGCGTAGTGTTCAAAGGTTGGCACCTTGATCACTATGGCTCCTAGGTCCGCGAGCAACGCTTGGCACAGAGGTAAAGAGTTCCAGGTGGCATTTGGTGTACTCGATGTATGGTAATTTGAAAGCTACGATGAGGCACCACAAACTGGTTTGTACAGAGGGTGTGGTGGATCGAACATGCAAGTATTGAACGGAAACGGAAGGTATTTAGCGATGGCACCGAATGCGCATAAAATAGCCCAAAAATGCTGTGCAAGACCAAGTGAGCAAACAAGCATGGTGATAAAGAAATCGTCTGAATTAACGTTGGAAACGGAGGGAAATATCCGTTAAAAGAAAAAACAGGTGGGTTAATTGTCACCCAAGACAGCACTGGATTGATGCAATCGATTAAACATGATCATAGTCAAAATGCGGTAGAACTTTGACACGCGTCGCTGCACAGAAAAGTAGACGAAATTAGAAAGTGAGGGTCCAAGTAAAGAGTTATAAAGAAAAAGCGATGACAGACACAGGAAAAGAATTAGGTGCGAGGTAGAACATAAGAGCATTTCCTAGTTCGTAGCGGCGAAGTAGTGAATGCCCACGAAGCAAGATGGTGTCCGTGTGGCTCTCTCCCATCCCTGTACTCCACGACCCACGGTTTCGTCCTGGTTTGGACTCAGCGGGTATAGGTAGCTGAGCTGGAAGTGGAACTCGATGCATAGTGCTTGGCGGCTACCGCCATGATCCCTAGGTCAGTGGGCTCCCCGAGCAGTGCTTGGCACAGCGGTTGATTTCTGGGTATTGGAGCACTGGCCGTGTCTTGGATTGCGACACGCAATCTATACAAGGGGATCAGGAGCACAAATCAAACCCGAAAAATATAAGAGGGAGTAGAGTACCAAAGAATTCGACAAACGTGATATTTGCTAGTTCATAACATACTCGTAGTTAGCCCAATTAATGGGAGTGCTTACATACTGTTGCTTAACACAATGTGTTGCCATTTCAAACAGAATCAGCAGGAAGTAGCATCAAGCTGCCAAGTGCTTCCAAGAAAGATGTGAACAACAATCTAAATCGTCATCTAAAAGAACAACATCGTGAACTGGTAATACAGCATGACAGAAAAGTAGACACCCTAAAAATCAGGAAAATAGAAGGTGAGCTAGGTGAAAACCTTTAGGCAATCGGCGTCAAACCGCCTACACGTTGTCAGCAACAAACAATCACAAGCAAATGGATAGAGTGGGAGAATAGCGCAACAAAACGATGAGACAGCTCAAGTGCTAGCCTTTGCATCTGCAACACGATTGCACTCCAGGTCACGTAATACCATGCAAAGGTGAACCAAATAGTCCATCAAGGGGACAACAAACGTGTCACCAACTCCGGTCTCGAGACACGCCCTGCATACCAACGAGTTTGACCCAGAGATGAAAAAGAGAAACGGACTAACAGTGAGGAATGTAGTCACTTCGAATCCGACAAACGGTAACACAGATGGGTGGGAATCCGTAGCACATGCCCGAAAGAATACGGATTTCCTCAGCTTCATTTGTTAATCGGGTACATGCCTGTCTCTTTAGTGAGTACAGAGTTTGGTCCTGACTAGATGGTGTTTGGGAATTTAAGATAGAAAAGACCAAGTTGCCCTCCAGTAAAGGATAACGGTATTTTTAACTTCCCCATCTTGAAGACTGATTCCCGCAGCCAGTCATAAATGTTACTCCAGCCACTAACATACACATTGATCCACGCTCTCCAGTTCCTTATTGGTACGGGTCCAAGTGTTATCAGGTCGCCTGAATCGGTGCAACAGCGTCATATCGTTTACAAGTGCTAAGCGCATGCTAAAGAGTGGAGCCTTGTAAGGAATTTGTCAAAGCTTAAATGTGACGCTTCCCGACGGTAAAGAAGAGAGATGATGTCATTCATACAATCCATACCAATTGGCTTTCCAGAACAGCAGTTTGCTGCTGTGAGTGGGAGGATGAATATAAGTCTGAAGATGATGCAACCCTGAAGAAGACTACTTGTGGAGGCAGACCTCCGACGATTCATCGTAAAACACCGTCCATGGTAGCAGAGCACAGGTAACACAAAATGCTCAAACAATTCGTTGGAGCACTTTTGCAGGCAAGTGTGTCGAATAGGACGGAGTTGCTCACGGAGTCAGATGCGTCGTTGAATTCGAGGGACTCAATTTTGTTCACCTTACAGTGCGTGCGATACTGCGCAACTGTCTACCATCCTGAGCGAAAACAAGTTCCTTCTACTCTTAGGTAAGATCTCAGATCAGAAGGCAGTGGACGATAATAGAAAACGATAACTATCAACACTGGAACCAAGTTAAAACCGTATAGGCTAGAGCGGAAGTCACCAGTAGCGATGCGCACCAACTGACCACAGTATTCTTCTTTCTATTATGTTACTGTAGGCGGGTCAGTTCTTTGGAGATGACGGCCGTGTAGCCCTCCGACAGTCAGAATAGAATATAGGCTCCAATCCAAATGACATTCGTATTTTCAACGATAGAAAAAGAAGCACAAATAGCTCCCGACGTGCTATAGTTATTGTCACCCACATCACGCAAATCCCGAGCTTCACTTTCTCGCCCGAGGTTTTTGATTCAGATTACTATGTTAAAAGTTACAAGGCGGTACTCTCGAAGAAAATTTTACAGGGACGGCGAAACCTGACAGCGTCGTCTAAGCACATACCACCGTCACTGCTTTTTGTTTCCTTTCTTTTTCACAAATAATCTCAAGTTTACGAGTAAGAGGCAAATGTTGACTTCCTTAACCTTACCAGCAGGGGAACCGAGTCATCTCTGAAACCCTAGGTGGTCCAACGTCGAGACTCAGATTCATAATGGAAAACAGGCGACATCCGCTACGATGCTGCACTTCAGCGCAGTAGATTACTATTGCGTCTAGGGAACACACATGCAGGATAGTAGTGTCCTCATGCATCCACGCTTACTGGACTCTAGTCCAAATGACAAGGATGATAGCCTTCGCATCCCCGGTGAAACCGAACTCGTGACCAGTGGCTCATACGTGCCGGAATCGTTTGCGGATGTGCGCAGACTGTAAAGTAGGTTTCACCAAAATGGCGCACGTTTGTGGTTCGACTCCGCAGCTCCGCCAGAATTAATAAACCGCAGGTGAAGGAAGGTGTCTCATCGTCATCCCGCTCCAAGCGGTTGACCGCTAAAGGTGAAATTTACCAAGGAATCTCTTTCACAATCTGAGGGGGCAAAGGTACTGGTACTGTGAACACTGTGAGTGATATTAGCGCTGAAGTAGGTTGCCCATCAAAATTACAACGCCACCTAGTCATAATTTCGCAAATGATATTTTGTGTTGACAATGATGATAGCCACCAATAATGTGCCCACCACATCCACTATATCAGAAGCATAGCACTACAACACACGCGTTCACATGGATTAACATTGGGACCAACGAACAGCAGGCTGTGTGTAAACAAAGCAGTTGCTATTACCCACACCCGTGTAAGATTGCCTCCATTATGACCATGATCTAAGGCCTATTAACCATTCTTAATTCCCGGCAAAGCACTCGACTGCGGTTGTAGAACATCGAAATCATTTCACACATTTGATAGCTGAAGAACATACGTAAAAAGATGCCATAAACGTGAGGCCGAACACAACATTGATTTTTCGGTATTCTCAAAGAACCTGAGCTAAGCTGCGGAGGCACCGGTGGTCGAAAGAAATGAGCCTCTAGCTGATGGACCGCGTTCCACAATCATACAGTAAGGCTGAACGGACGCCTGTACAGTAGCCCCCCACCGATCAGGGTAAGAGTGATACCACTCCGGCACCCCAAGCGGCGATGATTGGCCAAAGCAACTTGAGCCTCCACAATACGATTCATGATATCAACTTCGATCCCGCAGGCGCTGTAACAGCTGCACAGGTAGTAGACATTCTGAAAGAATTCTAGATTATCTCCCATAAGTGTCGCTGCAGTGCGCACCTTTGGTGTCGAGGTGTAAGACTACGGTGGATAGTCAATCAAAGTGGCGGGGCTCCAATAACTGACAAAATGAACCTGTAGTTCAATCAACCTCAACTTCCACAAGACCTGACTTGCTCCTCACGAATCTGGCACTCACAAGCACCAGTCAATGCGTGAAGAACGATATAGGCAAGTAGCTTGGAGCGATGAAGATCAAACTGATCCTCTATGGCTGCCTTACTTCGAACGTACGCCACTCTTGGAGATTGGAAAGACGGTGGAGCAGCATCAGCCAGCTGGGATAGTTCCCAGTTCCCACAATTACACCAACAGATCGTGTAAATCTTT